TTTTTAAATTTTATTGAGATATAATTAACATACCACACAGCCACCTATTTAAAGTATACAAGTCAATAGTTTTTAGTATAATCACAGAGCTGTACAACAATGACCACAATCAATCTTAGAACATTTGCGTCACCCTAAAAAGAAACCTCATACCCATTAATAGCCATTTCCCATTCCCTCACCTTCCCACCTACTCCCCCAGCTCTAAGAAACCATGAATCTAGTTTCTATCTTTATAGATTTGTCTATGCTGGACACTTCATATGAATGGAATCATCTGGCTTTTTGTTTCTGGCTTCTTACACTTAAACAATGTTTTCAAGGGACATACACGTTAAAGCTTGTGTTGTTACTTAAGTCCTTTTTATTGTCTAATAATATTCTATTCTATGGATATACTACAGTTTATTCATTCATCAGTTGATGGACATTTGAGTTGTTTTCCACTTTTTGGCTGTTGCGAATAATGGTGCTATGAACATTTGGGTACAAGCTTGTATGCAGGTATATGTTTTTATTCATTTAAGGTCTATATATACCTAGGGCTAGAATTGCAGGATCATAGGGTAACACTGTTGACAGTGTATTGACATTTTGAGGGACTGTGAGTTTTAATAATATGTATGCAAATATATTTAGCATATTAGTACACTTTTATTATTTATCCTTTAATAAACATGGATTAGTACATTTTCATTCCTTGTCCTTTAATAAATGCTGTATCAACATGGATGTTACTTGGAGAACTCCTACCCATAGTGACATCCATGACCACATAACACAAGGGTGTTACATGGGTGTTACTCCTAGTTGAGTCCCAACCCATGTCCACGTAACACGTGGACTCAACTAAGTGTTCATTTAACAATTAGCTCATACTCATTTAAATAGTGTGACCTTGTTTCAGGTGCAGTGTGTGTTTCTAGCTCCTGCAGTACTACATATTCCTGCATTTAATCAGCAGATGTGAAATAAACAAAAATAGCATAGTAAATACAGAAAGAATCAGAACTTAAGTCATCATTATATGACCACTTGAGGTTTTTATTTGTGTTTTAAACTGAAAACAGTGACTTGGGATGCAGACTTCAAGGTATGATATTTTCGTTTCATAAGTACAAATTTTAGTTAATATGTGAAATATTTGACTGAATTTGAGTATCTTTAAAGTAGAATTCTTTTTTAATTGAAGCTCAGAATTCAAAGCTAAAAAACAGAATTTTATTCAAGTTAAGCTTGAAAACAGTTTTAGTTTTAAAATAAAATTAAAAAACAAAATCAGAAAATACCAGTGATTGCTGTTATTGCATTATACACTTATTACTGAACATAAATCCATTCTGTAGAGGAGAGTAGCATTAAAAATCACCTGTTCCAGATGTCAGATATGCTAGGCCTGCCACTGTGTATGAACTCGTACAAGATGACCAAGTTATTTAGGAAATATTTCTTGCATTGAGTAAGCTTAAATTGACAGAAGAAAATGGAAGCAGATTGGCAGAGTGGAAGGAATTCCTGGCTAAGTTATATGTTTAGGGAGCAGTTCAGAGTCATGAATTACTTGGGTGTATCAAGACTGAATGAGAAGTGGAAATTTGGGGAGTTGGAATAAGAGGGTAAACCTGGGCCTAGGTCTGGAGTAGGAAGAAATTTGAGATTCATAAACAAGACAGCAACTTTGGTGGGGGAGAGCTAGAGTTTCATCATTTTGGCAGCAACACACAGCATGAGTGGGAACAACAGAAGACCATAAAGAAAGGTGAATTATAAGGTTGGTCAATAATTTCAGGCATTAGCTAATGACATTCTCCTTGAGGGTCGCAGTTACGCAGAAGGAACAAATCAAAGAGATCTTATAAACAACACAGCAAAGATGTCTATTTTCCCCTAAGTTAACTATAAGTTTAATGCAGTTCTTATAAAAATCCCAGCAAGGTTTTTTTTGTAGATATAGATAAGCTTATTCTAAAACATATATGGAAAGGCCCTAAATTAGCTAGAACAATCTTGAAAAAGAAAGATAAAGTGGGAAGAATCACTCTACTCAGTATCAAGGCCTAGTATATAGCTACAGTATAAAGGTGGTGTCCTATTAGCAGAAGAACACATAGATCAATGTAACAGAATAGAGAATCCATTAACTCCCCCCGACCCCCCGCATCCCCGATCCTGCACAAGTACAGCCAACCAACTTTTGAGAGAGTTGTAGAACCAATGCAATGAATGAAGAAGAGCATTTCCAAAAAATAGTGCCAGAACAACTAGACATTCCTAGGCCAAAAAAAATGAACCTTAATATAGACTTTATTTTTATTTTTATTTTATTTTATTTATTTATTTTTTTTTTGAGGCAGAGTCTCACTCTGTCGCCCAGGCTGGAGTGCAGTGGCGCAAGCTCAGCTCACTGCAAACTCCACCTCCTGGGTTCACACCATTCTCCTGCCTCAGCCTCCCGAGTAGCTGGGGCTACAGGCGCCCACCACCATGCCCGGCTAATTTTTTGTATTTTCAGTAGAGACGGGGTTTCACCGTGTTAGCCAGGATGGTCTCGATCTCCTGACCTCGTGATCCACCCACCACGGCCTCCCAAAATGCTGGGATTACAGGCGTGAGCCACCACACCCGGCAAGACTTTATACCTTATATAAAAGTTAGCTCAAAAGAGATCATAGACTTAAATATAAAATGCAAAACTATAAAACTCTTAGGAAAAAAAATTAAGGAAAATCCTTGGAATCTCGGCCCAAAAGACTTGACACCAAAAGCATGACCCACAAAGGGAAAAACTGATAAACTGGACCTCATCAATGTTAAAAATGCACACTGCAAAAGACCTTGTTAAGAAGCGGAACAATCAGATAGCGAGAGGAAGAAAATAGGTGCAAACTGCACATCCAACAAAGGACTAGCATATGGAATATATTTAAAAATTTTTCAAACCTCAGCAGTAAAACACGAACAATCTAATTAGAAAATGTGCAAAAGACATAAGCAGACATTTCATCAAAGAAGATAGACAAATGGTAAGCACACAAAAGGATGTTCATCATCATCAGCCACTAGGGAAATGCAGATTAAAACCACAATGAGACACATGCCATTCGGCCATTTCTGATTTGCCTGGGCCACACATTTATGGCACACACAAAGGGTCTAGTGTCTAGAAATTAATAGTTTATCCAGGAAAAGAGCTTAGCTGATACCAATGGCTATCTCTTAAAGTGACTTGTTCCCTTCTCGTTTTGTCATCAAGTGTTCTAATAGTATTCCCAAATTTGAAGATCCACAAAGGTCTCCAGAGGTCACTCTCCCAAATGCCATGTCTAAGTCCAGCAGGATTTAGTGACCAATTAGATATAGGAGTAGCTCAAGTGTCTTTGAAAATTAGCACCCTTTGACCTTACGTGGGGCAGAGCCTGGGCCACTTGCCAACTGTATGATGTGACAAGACATATTTCTTTGAGATTCAGTTTCCTTCTCTTAAAAGGAGAATGACAGTTCTTCCCTTACAAGGTCTTGTAAGAATTACATCAAACACCATGAATGTGAGGTACCCAGCCTAGTGCGCAGTGTGGTTGTGGATGCTGTTTCCACACACAAGCCAAGGCTGTGGTCTCCAGGAAAGATTTAAAAGTGAGTCTCTTTCCGGAGTGATTTAATTTTGTTGACCATGTGGCTGAGAATATCTGAAAAAATCCCAAATCTATTCTTCTGCCTTGCTCTTCTTTTAAGTATGCTAATGTTTGTCTGAACACATATCTTGTTTTTTTCAAAACACAAGATCACTTTAACTATACCTGACTTCTTCCCGTGCTCACTCAGCTGGCCAGAGGCGCTGAGCAAATGTCTGTGTGAGCTTTCCTTCAGTGTGTGCGTTAGTGTGGGAAATATCATGGGATTTTTTTACTCACCCAGCAGAGCCTGTACAGCGAAGATAACCATGAATATTTGCTGAATGAAAAAAAAAATGAATGAGTCTTGATGCTATAGAGGAGTTGGGAGTCAGGAGTCCACATATATTCTCTTAGCCAGGAAGATATTTGGAGTCAAGGACAGCAGATAGTCAGGGAGGTAGGGCACATAGTTTAGTCTAGGTAGAGTTAGACAGATGGTCATAAAGGTCATGGAGGAGAGGATGCATCCAACTGAGGAATCCTGGAAAAGCTTCAGTGAGGACATGACATTCATGGTTGTCGTAAGCTGGTGTTGCTGTTGCTGATGATAATAATAATAGCAAACTAGTATGTAACACTTTTTATGTCAGGCACTGTTCTAAGTGCTTTCCACAGGTTAACTCATTTAATCTGCTCAGCAACTCTGTGAAGGAGTTACTATTATTCTCCCAATTTAACAGATGGGGAAGCTAAGGCACCAAGAGGTTAAGAAATTTGCTCAAGGTCACATAGCTTGTGAGAAGAAAATCTCCCCAAAATTAGCATTATGAACCCTTGCAATATGGTTCTAGTGAAACCAAGGGAGTTCCATCTGCTCTGATAACAGTATGACTCCTGTCTTCTTAAATATGTATCTATAAACATGGGTAGTTGGACTTCACAGGGCTACTATATATACTCTTGTTGCACACTTAGAATGGTCATGGTAACTTGCAGTAAAAAATGCATCACTGATACTATGTAACAACCAAAGATCTGTGTGTAAGACATTCCTGCTACCTCTCAGGGGTCTCCCAGACATCCTCTAATTTTTTTTTTTTTTGGAGACCGAGTCTTGCTCTGTCACCCAGGCTGGAGTGCAGTGGCGCGATCTCGGCTCACTGCAAGCTCCGCCGCCTCCCGGGTTCACACCATTCTCCTGCCTTAGTCTCCTGAGAAGCTGGGACTACAGGCGCCCGCCACCACACCTGGCTAATTTTTTTTTTTTTTTTTTTTTTTTGTATTTTTAGTAGAGACGGGGTTTCACCGTGTTTGCCAGGATGGTCTCGATCTCCTGACCTCGTGATCCGCCCGCCTCGGCCTCCCAAAGTGCTTTTTTTTTTTTTTTTTAATATGGAACGCTTCATGAATTTTCATGTCATTCTTGCGCAGGAGCCATGCTAATCTTCTCTGTATGGTTCCAATTATAGTATATGCGCTGCCCAAGTGAGCACGCCTCTCACTTTCTGACATGAGACTTACAAGTTCTGGGCACTCCTAAAATGTTGATCAAAATGATAGCAGACCACAGGTCACAGCTTATATCTAACCTAGTCCCCACCACTTTTTTTTGTTAAGATCATGGTTGTTTTACTTTTTCATATTCATGGCCACATTCCTCAAAGTAGAGTCCCTCTCTGTTTCACAACCTGCTGTGACTCTGTGTGTGTGTTTGTGTAACAGAATGTGTGTTATGGCTGTGTGAGCTTTGAAAGAGCAGTTATAACCTAGGCCCCTCAATGATTTTTTGTTAATGAGCCCTGCATCCTCATCCAGCTCTAGCAATGCTTTGCTAAAAACAGACTGAGGTCATTCATGTGTAAATGGAAATACACCAAGAAAAAAATTAATACCAAATGTACATCAAGATCAAAAGAAAAAATAAATTTCTCAATGGACTACTCAGAGCTATGCAGAGACCATTGGTTACTGCTGCTTCCCATAAAATTGAAATTCAGAGCATGTTTCAGTAAGGTTCTTAAAAAGGCTGGGACAAACCAGAGACTGTGATTTGAGAATCCCACAAGGATGACGGCCCCCAAAACTGGCTGCATCCTGAATTACACAGGGAATATGTACCCACCAAAAACTGTAATACATGCCAAAAAAAAGTAAGAGCCTATGGAACTCAGGGCCTAGAACCAAAACATTTTCATTTAAAGACAAATACAGGCCAGGCACGGTAGCTCACGCCTGTAATTCCAGCAGTTTGGGAGGCCGAGGTAGGCGGATCAACTAAGGTTGGGAGTTCGAGACCAGCCTGACCAACATGGAGAAACCCCATCTGTACCAAAACTACAAAATTAGCAGGACTTGGTGGTACATGCCTGTAATCCCCACTACTCGGGAGGCTGAGGCAGGAGAATCACTTGAATCCAGGAGGTGGAGGTTGCAGTGAGCTGAGATTGTGCCATTGAACTCCAGCCTAGGCAACAAGAGTGAAACTCCGTCTCAAAAAAAAAAAAAAAGACAAATACACACAATGTTATAATAAAATTAGCATCCAGAGGCTGTGATTTGAACTATTTGATCACAAATTATAATTTGATGAATTTTTCAAAATCAAAAATATATAAACATGTCAGAACAAACCATTCTTCTGATTATCATTGACAGGCGAGTCTACAGAAACAAATGTAGACCTTAGAATGACCCATTCATTTATACATTCAATCATACATTCCTCCAGGGAGTATTTATTGAGCACCTAGTAGGTGCCAGGGTGAACTCTGAAAACAGAGCAGTATAAGAGGCTGGTTAAGAGTGGGGTTGGGAGTCAGAGAGACTGGGCTTAAATACCTGCCCCACCACTTTACAAACTGAATGATGTTCAGCAAGGCAGTAAACTTCCCTCAGCCCCTGATTTCTCAGCTGTAAAATGAGGACTGTTAAACTTGCCTTGCAAGGTTGGATTGGATGAAGTAATATGTGTGACAGACTTAGCCCAGGGCCTGGCCCACAGTAAATATTCTGAGGAAAAGGGAGGAGCTGGGGGAGGTGGTACTCTAACAATTCATACTTCCTAAACTCAGAGATACCCTGGCATCTTCCTCCTCACTTTTCTAGAAGAGTGCTCCAAAGGTACATCCCCCTGCCCCAGCCCATCCACATATTCATACCATCAAAAATGTGGCTGGTAGCCGAGGAGCAGAGCCACCAGGAGGTTCATGCAGAGGCAGGCTTAGAAGACAAAGACACCTATGGGAAGGGAAAACCTGATGAGGATTTCAAGGCTGGCTTCATCCTTGCTCTCCCTTTTCTCCCTGAGGCCAGGTAAGAAAACAGCTTCCCCTTATCTCTGCAGGGGGAGGAGCTCAGAGACACTCCTGGACATCTGGAAGTCTCTTTAACCCAGTGGGCAGTTTGGCTCCCTGACACACTGACATCTGCTGCTGCCCACTCTTCCTCAGTTCCTCCTCCTGGTGGAAGAAGCTAAATCATGAGAGGTGTCCCACGAGTAGGCCTAAGGTTGGCCCTGGAGGGCAAACAGGAGGCGGGGAAAGATTTGTGGTTGTGGCTGTGTGAGTGTGATACTGAGAGGCAGCACTGCTGCTGGCTGGGGGCCACAAAGAGTGGGAAAGGAACCCAGAGACAGAGTTGCCACATTCAGCAGATAAAAATACCAGACCCTGGACGAAACTTTGAATTTCAGAGGAACAACAAATCATGTTTTAATCTATGTCCCATGCAATACTGGGGGCATACTGATACAAAAAATTATTCATTATCTGAAATTCAAATTTAACTGGATGTTCTGTATTTATCTGTCACCTCTAATCAGAAAGGGAAGGAGGAGAACACCCACCATTTTCCCCGTGTTTCCGTCTGAAACCAGATAGGACACAGTGTCTCTGAACAGTCCACCCATCCTGCAAGTACAGCCTCATATGGCTGAAGCCTGTATCCCAGTCTCTTTGAGGAGACATTGAGTCCAAGTCACCACTGTGCAGGGTGTGGTGCTGGGTGCTAGGAATACAGAGGTGTACAACAGCCCCTCACTTAAGGACCCACTCACTAATGAAGGACCAAAGCCCAATGGGACAGTAATCACAATTAAAATAATAACAGCAATTGTTAATATGTATTGAGAGCTTATTGGGCCAATGTTCCAAGCCCTTCATAGATATTTTATCTATTTTTTTGTTTTGTTTTATTTGTTTGTTTCGTTCTGTTGCCCAGGCTGGAGTACAGTGGCGTGATCATGGCTCACAGCAGCCTCAACTTCCCCCCATCTCAGGTGATCCTCCCACCTCAGCCTCCCAAGTAGCTGAGACCACAAGCATGTACAACCACCCTGGCTAATTTTTACCATCCTATGAGGTAGATTGTATTATTAACTTCAGTTTTCAAATAAGGAAACCGAAACTTGTAGGTAAGGTAACCAACCATACAGTTTTTTTACCCTAATTGAGAAGTGTTTTGTTTATATTTATTTCTAAGAGAAATTTCACTACTGGTGGGATTAAAAAAAAAAATTTTAGAGATGTGTATTTAAGTGAAAGGGAGCACAATCCGTAACTACACAGAGCAGCAGGTGTCCTCTGGAGCTGCCCCAGCACACTGCGGTTATGGCGTTCTGCTTACAGGAGGCAGGCCTGGTCTCAGTGGTTGAAAGTGGCAGTGGGAGGCTTTGAACCCAGGCAGAATGGCTCCAGAACTCATGCCCTTAACCAGGAACAGTAAGAGAGGAGACTGATCAACAGGTACTTCCTCCCACTGGATGCTAAGCTCCTGGGGATGGGGCCTCCTGTTTTGCTTCCCACTGTGTCCTTGGAACCTAACACCCAGCACCCAGTACCCAAGCACAGAGTGGGTGCCAAAAAGCACTTGATGAGCAAATGAAGCTGGGAAGCTTTTATGGAGAGGGCAGGATATGAGCAGAGCTTGAATAATGGAGCGGACCTGTGCAGGGACCCCTTTCTCTTCCTGGCTCTGTCCCTCTTCCCAGGTGTTTAAGGCAGGATCAGCAAGAGAGGGCCATTCAATGAGCTGTGCACGTGACTGCAAACCAAATCTCTGGGACGCAAAAAGGTGACACCTATTCTGGAAACTAAGTCATGAAGGGCTCTGTTAGCCCTGACTTGACTCTTTTACGTGGACACTCAGGTGCTCACTGCCTGCCCTCTCCAGTCCAGATCCTATAGATTTGGAATCTGTCACATTTCCTGCGTCCTGATCAGCTGACTGCCCTCTATTGGGTCCTGTAGCACCAGTGGTACTCTGTCTTCTGGGTGAGCTGACCCCCAGGGAAGTCTCCCCAACTTCCATCTCCTTAACCAACTCAGGACTGCTTTCCTCTGTGTTCCCACCAGAGGCCCTAGCCTGAGGCTACCCACTCCCAGCTGCTCTGACTGCACCCACAAAGCCTGCTGCTTCCATCTCTTCAGTGAATTTAAGCCTACAACAATCTACTGCAAGCCTACACCCTCTTTAAACAGGAATCATGAGATCTTTAGAACAATAAACAAACCCCTCCTTCTTGCTGAGGATCAGCTACTCACTATTTAAGAAGAGAAAGCAAATTTATAGAAGGGGAGAGACAGCCTCTGGCAGCTGGCTGTCCCCTCTCTCCAGAAAGATATCATTAAACCCAGTGACTCCTGCCTGACAGCTGTAGAATGAACAAGGAAGGGCTCTCTCTGGCATTTTTGTTCCACCCACGATTTAACTGCATGTAATTGAACTAACTAGACTGTAAACTGAGGTTATGGGCAGTGTCTTATAAGTATAAGCTACTACTTTGAATCCCAAAAGTCTAGCACAGTGTTTTACTTGTGGGAATCCAATAAACATAATTAATTTAGCTGACTGCTAAGGGTGTGTCTAAGCTTAAATACTCTAAATTACTTCTGACACCAAAGTGCTAGTTAGTCTGGGGTAGAAAGAAGCCCAGGTACTTAAGCCCTAATCCTGAAAATCAGAGAGAAAAGGAAATCTTAATCACCTTTCAAATCACTCTGGTCCCCTCGTCTCAGTCTCTTTCCAACTCTAGGGCTTTGCTGCTGTCAAGCTGGGTGACCTTGGATACGTCCCTAAACTTCCTGGGTTCTTAATTTCCTGGTGCTGAATCAGGCAGGGTCAATACGATGATCCTACGGTCTCTTCCAACTCTGACATTCCAGGATTCTGGTTGACCAAAAAGTGGAGAGCAGGGATGGAATATGGAGTGGATACTTGGGCGTGGGGATGGTGTCTCTGAGAAGGAGAAAATAAATATAGATCTGGGAAGAGATTAAAAAGCACTAGAGACTAGGGTACACTTTGTCATCCCTTCAAAGGCTCACTGTGCTCTCACTAAGATGGTGTCATCCGTCACATCCTACGTGGTGTCCAGCTGATGCCCATGCACCTGGGCCCAACCTTTTCTTCCACTCATTCCTCCATGTATGTGCTCTGCCTTGTTCCTGGCACTGCTCAAGGCACAGGGAAATTACTGGACTGTAAACTTAGGCCA